TCGCCTGTCTTTTTTTTTGTTTTGTTTTTTATTTTCTTTTTTTTTTTTTGTTTTGTTTTGTTTTGTTTTGTTTTGTCTCCTTTTATTTTTTTCTGTCTTGTCTTGTATTCTTTTGTTTTGTTTCGTTTTCGTTTTGTCTCTTTTTATTTTTGTCTCCTTTTGTCTCCTTTTATTTTTGTCTCCTTTTGTCTCCTTTTATTTTATGTTGTCTCCTTTTGTCTCTTTTTGTCTCCTTTTTTTTTGTCTCATTTTGTCTCCTTTTGTCTCCTTTTGTCTCCTTTTATTTTGTTTTGTCTCCTTTTATTTTGTTTTGCCTTTTTTTTTCTCTTTTTATTTTGTCTCTTTTTATTTTCTTTTGTATATAACCATAAAAACAAAAATAAAATAAAATAAAAAAAAAATAAAAAAAAAAATAAATATATATATGTTTTGTCTGCAGCTGCTGGTGGTTACAGCATAACAAACGAGGGTTTTGTGTATAACACCCAGACCTCTTCGTGGTTTCGTCTCTCCGCGGAAAACCCTCCAAACCCTCGCGCTGCGCATGCAGCCTGCTGCGTAGACTCGCTGCAGCTTGTTGTCTTTGGGGGGGCCACGGGCGGCGGCAGTCTTAGTCCTGAGGAGGTATGAGGGTTTAGGGTTTATTAGGGTTTAGGGTTTAGGGTTTAGGGTTTAGGGGGTAGGGGGTAGGGGTTGGGGTTTATTAGGGTTTATTAGGGTTTTTTAGGGTTTAGTAAGGGTTTTTACTTTTTATTAGGGTCTTGGGTTTATTACGCTTTAGGGTTTATTAGGGTCTAGGGTTTAGGGTTTATTAGGGTTTAGGGTTTAGGGTTTAGGGTTTTGTATGTGCAGCTATATCTCCTCGACATGCGCAAGGAGCCGCAGCTGCAGTGGCTGTCTCTATTGTGTATAATTATTTCTGTTTTTAATAGTCTTAATTAGGGTTTAGTGTTTAGTGTTTAGGGTTTAGGGTTTATTAGGGTTTAGGGTTTTGTGTGTATATGCAGCTATACTTACTAGACATGCGCAAGGAGCCTCAGCTGCAGTGGCTAGCAGTATTTGTGTATAATTATTTCTGTTTTTAATAGTCTTAATTAGGGTTTAGGGTTTAGGGTTTAGGGTTTTGTGTGTATATGCAGCTATACTTACTAGACATGCGCAAGGAGCCTCAGCTGCAGTGGCTAGCTGTATTTGTGTATAATTATTTCTGTTTTTAATAGTCTTAATTAGGGTTTAGGGTTTACTAGGGTTTAGAGTTTTGTGTGTATATGCAGCTATACTTACTAGACATGCGCAAGGAGCCTCAGCTGCAGTGGCTAGCAGTATTTGTGTATAATTATTTCTGTTTTTAATAGTCTTAATTAGGGTTTAGGGTTTCCTAGGGTTTAGGGTTTTGTGTGTATTCTCAGCTCTATCTCCTCGACATGCGCAAGGAGCCTCAGCTGCAGTGGCTAGCAGTGCCGCTGCAGGGGCGAACCCCCGGGCGGCGTTACGGGCACGTAATGGGGTATTCTAAGCCGAATATAATAGTACATGGGGGCAACGATGGGTATATAAAACCCTAAACCCTAATAAACCCTAATAAACCCTAATAAACCCTAAACCCTAAAAGATAAATATATTAGGTTAGAAATTATTCGGGGTTTGTAGTGCAGAGGGTTTTAAAAAATGGTGATAAATATAAAGAGGGAAGGGGGGATATATGTTTTTTTTTTTTAGGGTTTAGGGTTTAGGGTTTAGGGTTTATTAGGGTTTAGGGTTTTGGGGTGTATAGGGAGCGGCCGCTCAGCGACGTGTGGTATATGGACGTAGAGTCCTCGCCTTTTCGGTGGAATGAAGTGTTGCTGCCTTCTGACGCAAAGAGACCCTCGCCGAGGGTTTATCATGCTGCAGAAGTAGGGTTTAGGGTTTAGGGTTTAGGGTTTAGGGTTTAGGGTTTAGGGTTTAGGGTTTGGGGTTAGGGTTTAGTACTGTATCTTTTTTTGTTGTTTGTTCTTTTTCACTGTTTTTTTCTCTATTATTATTCTTTATATTTATTTAATTATTATTTCGTTCTTTTTATTTATTTATAAACAAATACAACAACAC